TGCATCGTGCAGTGTGGCACGATAAGAGTGGTTTGCTGGGTCGACGTGAGTGCCAACGCTGTACCACTATGAAGGAGTTCGGCAATGTTTATGCTCAAAAAATGTCTCATTTGGTTATGAACTAATCCACGTGGCAATGGCTATGACTGAATCTAATAACTATTTTTGAAGCAATCAGATATGACTTTCACGTGTGTGTAGTTCTGGTGAGATAATCAATAATCAACGTGTGTGTACAAGTAAACATGAATTTGTTCATTTGGGTGCCTGATTACAATTTTGTATGGTCTAGAAACAAAAAACATGTTAATCTCAAAGCATGATCTAATAGTACATAGTGGGGACAGGTTACGAAAATCCGCACTCTTAATTATTCAGATTAGAAAAGGGTGTAGTTTTAACATATCTAAACATGTAGAAAAACCTTTTGCTCCTATCGGGAGATGTAGCAGCAAATTTTACCAAATATAGCCCAGTATACAAGTCTACAAGTTTCACAAAATGGCAGGTAGAAACATGTCCCCTTTGTATATAGTTGTTACATATCGTCTCAAAATCATGTAGATTGAAGTCTCACTTTTATTTAGACCATTGGATCTGTTTCCTAATGTTGCTGGCTAGGTGTGGGATATGGTCTCAAAATATTATTTGGATGCATTTGTTTTTCCAGACTGATAAAAATTGGCCCCCTAACCCATGCATGTTCATGGGTTGGCGACTACCAACAAAGGTTGATGCATATTCGAGTCCATCATTAACGTAATTAACGAACAAATCTTTATATATGTCTGTTGTACTGTTACTTCCAATCATTACAAAAAAGGTACATTCAATTGGTTCCATGTTCATCCATACACATGAATCTTTTGGAATCAGTACAAACTTGATCTGCTTAAACTTTTATTTTGATGCGTATATATATGTTGCATCTACCTGTGCAGACTGCATGGCTTTGGTCGCAAGGCTTCATGCTAGCCAATCTACTCTTCCACCATGCAATTAAGATCGAGTGAAAAGCCATGCACATGTGTCACTTACACTAGAAGATTGTATGAAAGCAGCACGTTGATTTAGGTTCTCGAAAATTGTTTTCGACAAGGTGGGGGTCAATACGCCTACTGTGATGACGACCATGGCCTGGACTTGAGATGAATTTTTTGCCATCAAAATAGGCGATTCACTATCTTTGCCTACAGTCATGATAATAATTCGATATGTATCTGATCTATAGTTCTCTCATTTAACTACAATCCAGTCTGTTTTCCTTATTTTCTTGCTGGTGAATTATAATTTCTAAGCTAGAGCAAAATTCACGTAACTGGATATCCCCACTTCCACTTGGCAGATGGAGAAACACGCCAACGAGTCCACCTGCTTCCACGAGCCCTTATTAACAACCACGCCTACATCAACGCCATTTGACTTCCGCAAACTCTTATCAAATTTTAGCCAACTCGCCGAACAAACTAGGTAAATATACATTGGTCATACCCCAGTAAACATAAAGGGATAAGCAACTTTTGGCAATGCTACAAGAAAAAGATAGATGACGTGACCACCTTTAGGTATGACCATGACTACACATGATGCAGAGTGATATAGTTTCTACGCGCGATGTCATTAAACGATTGTGAATTTGGACGATATGACCCTTCTTTTCGTATGCCAAATTTGATAGGTGTATACAGTGTGGCATGTGTGTATGCATCACATTACGAAGAAGTGATGACCAAATAATATCCCTGATACAACAAAGGATATGATCTTTGATTTTGCTACCTTTCAATATGGGATATGACAATAGGACATGATTGACTACATGCGTGATTGGAAGTGAGAGAGTGAAAAAACCATTGACAGACTATATAAATAATATGCTTGATACTAGGTAACTATGACTATTTTCCAATATTCTTTCTTCATTTTCAAGTTCATGATGTGTCAGCGGGTAAGATGCAACTAAGGTCTCATAGTAAACTCTAAAAGGTCGGCATTGCGATTCATAAGCCAAATTGAATTGTGTCGCATTGGCTTGCATATTTGGTACCATAGTAACCTCAAAAGGGTACGGTGTGGAAGGGTTCTTACAATAAGTTAAATTATCGGTTAGTTAATTCATGAGTCAAACTAAATACCATCGGTTAGTTAAATCATCTCATCATGCCATCATAATGTTTGCTACCATGTGGAAGTGTTCTCACAATAATATTTTGATAAGGTCTGAGAATTAAAAGAAACCTTCTCATCTGTATTACAAATTGACATCAGTAAATATACTACTACATCATTGAGATCCTAACTAAGTTTTTTGTACCGTATGTAATATTTCATAGTCAATTTCAAACAAGCCAAAAATTACGTGACAGAGCAATTTGTTTGCACTAATTGGTATTTGAATATTGTGCCTCAACAATAGTTAATTTGACTAATATACATCTGCCTTTCAGGTGTATTGCTTGACGCGTTAATTTCTATGAAGTATTGTATGCACTAGCCCGTGCATTTGCACGAGTTGACGACTAGTTGTAGTTAATTAAAGATTTTATTCGTACATAGAGAAAGGCGGTGTCTAGGCGGGATGAAATATATAGGTGGGTTGGGCGACATTGTTCGACCCTGGAAGCAAAGCTTTCTGGCCACATTGCGTATCCATATTGTGTGATTTGTGCAAGCGTACGTGCAGATGTTGTATATCAGAGAAGGTCTGCAACAGTGCTGGGGGAATTCATAAACCGCGTGCAACCACCATGCATGATATTCCGTCACTGGTCGGGTCGCCAGGCCGGAATGATGGATGTTTCACCGTCCGTCCTCTCTCATTATCAACAGCACAGTATTTCTGCAGCGGCATGATTCCGCTTTCGCACGCACCCCCCCGATCTCGACCATGGTGATCAAACCCACGAGGTTACCCAAGCTTTAAGCGATGGGCACACTCATTCATCTCCCCTGTCCATCAGGATCACTCGCTGGTTAGTGGTTACTACTTTCTCCCGTGGACATGGATCGATTCCCCCCTGATCCCACACTACATGCGTGCATGATCGACCGTGCGCATGCATCCGTGGGCCGTGCTAATTGTTTCAACACATAATTATACCAGAATCGCCGCTAGCTAGGCAAATTAAAGGCATGGCATGTGCTACACTGCACGAGCTATTCATATGCTCTGTAAAAAAAAATTCAGATCAAAATTCAACATGCACAAAGAGAAACAAAAACGCTGTGTATTTCGAATTTTGATCTTTAATTTTTTAGGGGTCGTCGACATATGTGTTGTGGACACCCATGTTTCTTTTGGCACGTTTAAATTTGAATTTTGCAAGTTGGTATCGTGGTAGCATGTAAGAACTGATATCACCTGATACTTTCCCCAAATTTTCTCATCATATCAATAAATGGCCTCTATTTGCTTCAGCCGGTCACCTATCACCAGACGAGACTTGCCTGCTCCCTAGTCATGCTCCCATCCGTGCTCCCGCGTGCGTGGCTTGATTCGATTGGAACAAAATAAGATCCAGACTCACCCCGTTAAAATCAGGAGGGATGATTAGATTAGAAAGAAAAAAGAAAAAAAACAGCCGTAGGATGAAGTGGGAGCACGGATGAGAGCATGGGGAGGGAGCAGGCAAGCCGGATCCCCTCTCACCAGGACAGATAAGGAAACACCACAAAATCTCTAGTCGTATTAACAGTAGAGAAAATCACCAAGGAAAAGAATCAGTTCTACTGAATCTTTCATCCTGAAAAATCCCCCCGTGAATCCCCACCCATCCGAATCCTTTCACCAGATTTCCTTCTTTGTGGCTCGAGCTTCAAATCTAATTTTATGCCCGTCGTTCTTCTTCGCACCAGTGCCGCCCATGCATGTCGCGGTGGCTCGAGCTTCAACTCCAATTTTATGCCCGTCGTTCTTCTTCGCACCAGTGCCGCTCTCGCTGGTGTTGTTCGCGTATTTTGGCTCTGACCGGCGACCGACCACTTCCCTCCTGCAGCATGAAGATTGTTTACCACACTCCAATGATGTTCTGGAGGTCCTGTGCGGGCTTAGAATGATGACTTTTCATCTGTCTATTAGAACAAGTTTTGCCTAGCTTCAGTGAGGTAGGGGTGATGGTGTTGTCGCGCCTTTAGCTCGTTCCAGTGCTAAATAATACCAAGTTTCGAACTTGAAAACTTAACCAAGTAGATAAATTGTGCTAACCAGGACGAGGCCATATTTACTTTTTTTTCTTGAAATTTGTTGGTGTACTTGACAATATATGTGCATTTTTTTACACCATCTAATGAGTTATGGAAAGAAAAAAATGCTGATATTTATCATACTGTCACGCTATTGCGTGATTACATGATATCTCAATATAAATCGCGGCATTCAATAGCATTGATCATGTTATTTAGGAATGCAATTGTTTCCTTTTACTCGAGCGCTCTTTATACGGAAGTAATATATTATCAATACGTGCTTTCCATCTCCGGTGCTTCGTATTTTCCAAAACTTACCAAATACGAGTGTTGGAGACCTATTATTACCTCTAACCAGATCAGAAATTATTAACCAGTTTTGCTAGAACTCATTCAGATGAGATATAATTTGGTCTCATTCATCTTTTATAGCCATTGGATGTGATGAATGCTATAAGATGCGTGTGTGCTGACGTGGGTTATATATGTTCTTATTTTCAAAGTGAATGAGACCAAATTATATCTCCTCTAGATGAGTTCTACGTACTCCTTTAATCAGAAATTATTAATAGTTTGGATCGTCTCAAAATTTGCCCGGGCAGAAACGGCAGCAGACCAGAACCCCAACCCCTCCTCACCAAGACCCAACCAACCAAAACCACTCTACCTCAGCTCCACGCAGCCCGCGCCCGGTCCATGGCTCTGACTCTGACCAACGGCGACCGGGTCGGTTGACTTTCCTTCCTATAGATTTTCGCCATTGCCAGCTCCATCGAGCTCGTGAACGCACGCGCTCCACTCCACTGACAACAGTAATGGATTCCCTCGCGACGTCCACGGCCCGGAGATGGGCGCTCTGCGCCCTCCTCTGCCTCTGCCTCTTCTCCGCCGGCCTCCTCCTCGGCTCCCGCCCCTTCTTCTTCCCCGCGCTGCTGCCGCCGCCGTGGGAGCACTTCTCCAGACTGCAGCAGCAGCCCGCTCTCCGTCCTCCTCCTCATGCTGCGACTGCTGCTGCTTACCATGACCACGACGACTCCATGGCGCCAGCGCCGGACGCCGGCTCCGGATATCCCGGCAGCGACGAGGAGCTTGCAGCGGCACCCGCGCCCGCGCCGGCATCGGACGGCGACGGGGAGCGGAGGGAGTGCGACGTGTTCGACGGGAGCTGGGTGCGCGACCCGGCGAGGTACCCGCTGTACGAGGCGGCGGAGTGCCCGTTCCTCAGCGACCAGGTCACCTGCCGGAGGAACGGCCGCCCGGACGCCGGCTACGAGCAGTGGCGGTGGCAGCCGAGGGGCTGCGGCGGCGGCGCGAGGCTCGACGGCGCCGGGGCGCTGGAGCAGTTGCGGAACAGGCGGGTGGTGTTCGTGGGCGACTCGCTCAACAGGAACATGTGGGAGTCGCTGGCCTGCATCCTCTACACGGCGCTGCCCGACCGCTCGCGGGCGCGCGTCCACCACGCCAGCTCCGAGCACAAGATCTTCCGCGCCATGGTATGTTTCTTGAGAAATACCCAGAAGTTCAGAAACAGAGTGCCCAGAAGTTCTGTTTCCAAATTATCTGAAATTCATGTTGCTGCAATAGAGCTCACACCAAATTATTTGAATTTGAAATAAAAATAGAGAGCATCGTCGTTGCTACAATCAACATCATGGGGAAAATTGATGTTGCAGGATTACAATTGCTCGGTGGAGTTCTTCTGGAGCCCGTTCCTGGTGCAGCTTGAGACCAAGCAGGACCGGACCAAGGTGCTCAAGCTGGACCAGCTCCCGGCCATGCTTCAGCAGGTGATCGGGGCAGACGTCCTCGTCTTCAACACCGGCCACTGGTGGACGCACACCGGCAAGCTCAGGGCGTAAGTCGATCTTCATCCTGTGTTGCGTTGTTAACTCCTCCTGCTCCAACGGCCGGCGAGCTGATTTAATTTACTTGACTGGCTGCAGCTGGGATCACCTGGAGAGAAACGGGATGCTGGTCAAGATGGAAGGAGAGGAAGCATTCAGCAGAGCGCTGAGGACATGGGCGAGATGGGTGGATCACAACGTGGACCAGACCAGAACCAGGGTCTTCTTCAGAAGCGTCTCACCTGAACACAAGGGGTACATTTCTGACAGCAACCTACGCATATAACAAAACCTCAAGCATTACCTAACATACATACAATGTTGTTACAATGCAGTGCGAACTGGTGCTACAATCAGACGGCTCCCATCGCCGCGGAGGAAGCAATCGTTCCATGGTTCCCGAAGAGCATGGTGTCCATCGTCGAGGGGAGCATACGGAGCATGAGGACGCCCGCCACGTACCTGAACATCACGCGCCTTTCCGAGCTCAGGATCGACGCGCACCCTTCGGTGTACTCGATCAACAGGGATGGGAAGCCTCTGTCGTTGGAGCAACGGCGGCAGCCGGTGGTGTATGCTGACTGCAGCCACTGGTGCCTGCCGGGGTTGCCTGATACTTGGAATGTGCTTTTGCTTGCTTCCTTGACGAGACATCCCTCCTCCAATCTACACTTGTAGGTAGGCTTGTAGGAATACTGTACTTCTAAGACACAATCTAGCTAGGCTGGTATACTCTGCATGGTGGGGAAATGAGGCTGAAATCAGTTGACAAATCAATGAATCGCATACTCTAAACAGGTTTTGGTCCCGCTTTATAAATAAAACAAACACCGAACAGATTACATGGCCGAACGATACAAAGTGATGGGTAGCTCTCAAATAATGCCGATCCTAGACTACCCGCATCACGCAGGACACGACAAGGCTACTCTAAGAGAGCATAGAAGTATCTGAGTACAACGCCATACAATGCCCCAAATCACCTAAGCTCCATGATAACAGCGGTAAGCGTCGCCATTGTCGAGTCCAGACAAACAAGGGTTTTCACCCGGAACCTTGACACGAAGAACAATGACAAAGCTATTCCACATGTTATTTCCCTTTAAAAGATGCCCGTGGATGGACCGAATCCCGAAGGGATTGTTGCACCTTCCATCCCTCATGTGTGTATCACTCCGTGATATGAGCAGATACTGTTTGAATGACAACACATTGGGCTGGGCTGGAGTAGAAAGGATGCGAGGTAACACTGCCTCCTCCTCCCATTATTTCTCTTTGATTCAATTTTACTAGCTAGCAGGGATGATAACACGCTGCTTTTTACAGGTCATAGGAAGTCGTACTTGGACGAACAAGCAGCAAAGGACAACACTGGTTAAGCTCGACAGGGTCCTGTTCAAGGAGCTCTGGCCTCTGGCACGACCTATTTCCCTCCTGCTTGCTACAGGGGCTCACAAGAGCCGTCAGCGATCACTGTCTGTTGTTCCTTACATGCGACACACAGTTCAAACACTGCAGAAAATTCCCGATTCGAGAACTTCCGGACGAAGATGGGAGGTTTTGATGTGGTGGTGGGTGGCCACGGCATGGCAGCAGCCGGTTATCTCGCTCGCCGGACCCGTCTGTGGTGTTGCACACCAAGTTGGGCAGAGTGGTTCGTACAGCAGGCCGGCGGACCGGATGAGCAGAGCCATGGACATCCCCGACGACCTCATCTACCGGCTTGATTTGGCGCGTGATTTAAGAGAGCTTTCTGTTGCCGAGCACCGCCTCGGTGTAACAGTCTGAAGATAGGCTGCTAGGCTACAACTCCTTGCAGTGATCGAATATGGCGCCAAAGATCCACGATTAGAGGGATCATGGAAGGGGACGTCTTTACAAATTTTTCGCATGTGAAGGCATCTGCAAGGACAAGATGGAGATAGCATCAGGGACAATTCTTCTCGGAGCACGAGGACAAGATGGAGATAGCGTTGGATTTCTTCTCCTGGGGCAGTCGGCGTCTAGGAAAGCAAAACTGTATTTTGAGGCCATTGGTTATTCGCCTGCCACGGACCTGCTCACGCAGCTTGCGAGTTCTCTGGGGAGGAAGTGCTCGCTGCCATCAACGACAGCAACGCCGACATAGCGCGAGGCCCCGATGGGTATACCAGCAAGTTCTACCAGAAGTACTGGGTTATAATCAAAGGAGGACCTGATGAGTGTCCTGAACAAATTAAGCGGCTTGAACATGTCAAATCTGCAAGCCCTCAACATGGATGTTATGATCCTCAGTCTATTAGAAGGAACCAGTAGCATCTCGGATTTTAGGTCAACCAGCCTGATACACAGCATTGGCAAATTGATTGCCAAGATCCTTGCACGAAGCTGATGAATGTCTTAGAAGTGTTGCACCAGCGCCCAACCAATCGCGTTGCAGAGCTCGATCCATGAGAGCCCCGGCACGGCGTGCATCCCGTTCTGAGTCCCGACGCGCCTCTCCCTCCTCACCACACTCGTGACCTGCAGTTGGCTTTTAAAATCCTAGACCAAATCACCGGGTTGCTCACGCACCAGTACGTGCAAAGCTAGCACAAGAAGCATAGCAAGATAGCAGCTTAGTTGATTTTGTGTGGAACAGTGCACGCACGTCTAGCCGGCACCTCACGTGCGTACGCGATTGGTAAAAGCTACTCTCTCCGTTCCATCCATAATATAAAAATGTTTTTAACACTACACTAGTGAAAAAACCTTTTTTATATTATGAGAAAGAGGGAATAGCTCTTAATCGACTAAGTGGCTGAATGAGTAGTCATTGTTTCACTCATCATATATTATTATTAGTCCCCCGCAATTTTTCTTTTATGATTAGTCATATAGTGAAAAAATAGTACTACTTTTTTTATCCAAGCATGACAAAATATATATTACATTACCTCTTTGTTTGCATGTGAATAATCTGGTAACATACTACAGTAGGGGTAAAAGAGTCTTTTTGTGCTAACTTAACACCATTACTAGCCGAAACTGACGGAAGTGCCACCTGGGAACAAAATGAAATTTAAGTGTCAAAAAGGGAAGAAAAAAATTTTAAGGGCAAAAAAGGGAAACAAATTTTAAGAAAAGACCAAATAAAAAAATTTCTCTGGCCGTCCTCCTTGGACTCCTCGTGGCGCACACCTCAGCATGCATGCTCTGCATGCCAATTGGTTACTGGCAGACGCTAATTATGCGATGGGATGAAAAGGATAGTGGAATAGACGGAAAGGCGGCTGGCTGCGGTGGCCTAGTACGCAGACCATTAAGGGAAAAATGAAAAAACTTAGGCTAGTCATAGTGGGGAGTAACTTAGACTAGTAACATGCATATGTTACTAGTCTATGTTACTACCTTCATAGTGGAGAGTAACATATATATGGTATCATGCAAGCCAACATTTATTAAGATGTAGACTCATTTTGCATTGGGATATGTTATGTTACAGTAACATATTATGTTACTCCAACCATCTCTCTCCTCATTAAATACATGCCATGTAAGCAAACTTTTTTCGGGGTGTGTTATGTTACTTGCTAAGTGACTCCCACTATGACCAGCCTTATACGCGGACTATTGAGGTCCGGAGGGAGTATCACTAGTAACTTGAAAGTTCCGGGTCTAGGCAACTTATCGAAGAACATATACACGGTGGTCACAACTGCTTACTTCAGGACTCCTTTGATACATATGATAGGATTATTATACAAATAGAAAACTTGTAGAAAATGAGATGACATATATCTCAAATCCTACGAGTAGGAATAGGAAAAGATGTGTTATTCGTTGACATCACAGGAATTAAAGAAAAAATTCCTACAAGAAGGATGTGGCGTTTTGACTCCCGGTCTCTCAGATGAGCCTGTGAGTGAACAGTAAATTCACCAAAAATAGTAAATAAATTAAAAAAGAAATCCTTTTTTTGGTGAAAGATGCTTCTGTTCACCATGTCCATGCAAAAATTCAGCGCATTTGAATATTTGAAGAGCTCTCAGCAAAACAGACAAATTTGGGGATTGTGAAAAGTTAACTGTGTTGCACTGTTCGGACCCGGGTTTTTTTTTTGCTGAGAGCTACTCAGACGTCCGAATGATCTGAAAATTGGCATGGAGATCACGCACTCAACTATCTTTCACCCAGAAATATTTGATATTTTTTGAACTTCTTTATTATTTGTTTTTTAATTTACTGTTCACAGGGTGTAGATGAGCTCAGGAGCCGAATTGGATACTCGCTACAAGAATCATATCCTTTGGAATTCCTGTGAAATTCCTCCAAACCAAAGGAGGCCCTCATCCTGTCGCTGGTGGACAACATCCTCCAGAAATGCCGTGGGGCACACACCGCCAGGGCGGCAAGGGCGGCGGACGCAGAGGTAGCCGACAGGGATGCAGCCGCGGCGGAGGCGCTGCTGAGACGGTACAGCAGGTTCGACGCTACACACACACAAACAAACTCGAGTTGCACGTGCATCTAAGACAGTTGCAGGCCCTCATCGAATTCATCTTGGTCGTTGCAGCTTTTATGGAAACGGGAGCCTTCAGGAAGCTTTTTTCATGTCGGTCGCTGGTTGAAGCCTTTTTCATCTATGGTCGAAACTTTTTTTTATAACGGTTGCAACTTTTTTCATTACACAGTGCATGCTTGAAGCTTTTTTCGTCTACGGTCAAATCTTTTTGTACAACGGTTGCAACTTTTTCTGTTACACTGTGCCTGCTCGAAGCTTCTTCCATCTCCGGTTGAAGCTCTTTTGTGCCTGGTTGTATCTTTCTCATGGGCCGGTTCCAGCTTGCAGTCGCCGTGTTTGCAACATCATGCCGCCTGTCTTCAAGATCGCGATCACCACGATCACAGCAAAAAACATTGCTGGTTCCAGCTCGCGGGCACCATGGTCGCAGCAAAAAATGTTGCTGGTACCAGCATCTGCGGTCCGCTGGGGTTGCAGTGCCTGCTCGCACAGTTCATCGATGCCTCCACCAGCAGCAGGCGGCGCTATCATTCCAGCTCGCAGTAGCTTGTTGTCTCTAACAGCCGGCAGTCAAACCCGTCTCCCCCAAATCTGGATGCAAGAGAAGGAAGAGAGGGGAGAAGGTGTGGAGAGGGAGGAGAAAGGGGAAGAGAGGAAGAAAGAAGAAGGAAGAAAAGGGAAGAGGGAATCAAGTATACAGCGCACGACGTACCTGCCATCACCGGCCGGCTGCACTGTGCTGCCGTCCCCATGGAGAAGAAGTAAAAGGAGCAACGGCTGGAAGAGATAAGGCTAACTGTGTTTGGTCGTGGGGCTATCCAGCTGCGTGATTGTGGTTGGGGTGTTTGCACGAATCGCTTCGCACAAGATGGAGCGCGCACGTGCGACCGGCCGAGCGTTCCGCCGGCCTGCCGTATACAAGCATTTCCCATATCTGAATCAGCTGGCTGCTTTCCCAGGGCGGCAAGGGCGGCGGACGCAGAGGTAGCCGGCAAGGATGCAGCCGCGGCGGAGGTGCTGCTGATTACATAACGACAGTAGAGCAGGTTCGGCGCTACACACACACAAACTCGAGTTGCACGTGTATCTAAGACAGTTGCAGGTTTATTTCTACATTATACTCCGCCCCTTGTGTCAATTGATAGCCTCAAGGACACCTTGTCATGTCGAGTTTCTGATTACTCCCTCCTTCCAT